GATATAGATTTATTTAAGAAAAGTTATATAATATAGCTTTAATCTGTCTATGAGAGAGAAACAAGAGAAATGACTGGCTTTTTTTTCAGTTTTACACATTTTACAGAATTTTGCACACTGTTTTGAAATAGCACATTTAAAAACAACATAAATGTATGTACTGTTCATGAACGGCAGAGAAAATACAATTTTTATCAACTTTCATTAATTGTTTGAAATTCTGTGATTACTACAAAGAAGTACTAAATAAAGATGTTAATGTTTAGTCCAGTTCTGTGTGTTAAATATCTAGGTGTTTTTATGTGAATGTGGGTCTTTTAGATAAATTTTGGTGATTTTGATCATGTTTCACATTTTATTGTCACATACTGGCGCTGGTCTTGGTCTTGACTCTGTCTCGACTTTCCTCGGTCTTGGTCTTGACTTGGTCTCGGACCCTAAAAGTCTTGGTCTTGACTCGGTCTCGACTTTCCTCGGTCTTGGTCTTGACTTGGTCCCGGACCCTAAAAGTCTTGGTCTTGACTCGGTCTCAACTTCCCTCGGTCTTGGTCTAGACTTGGTCTCGGACCCTAAAAGTCTTGGTCTTGTCTCGGTCTCGATACGCTCTGGTCTTGGTCTTGTCTTGGTCTCGGGTTAGGTGGTCTTGACCACAACACTGCTACCTACTAGAAGTTAAATGTCCCAATAATCAATCAAACTTTAATGTAACATAATAAAATAATCCAATATAATAATTAAATCATAAATAATCACTCTATAAGTATAAATTAATCTAAAGTAAATTAACTATATGTAATTTTAGGGGTCGCTGGTCTGTATTACTGTTATTTTTGTGGTCACAGGTTGACACTTTTATAAACCTGAGTTCTTTAACAAGAATAAATAATAATAAATATAATTTTTTATGACACTGAATTACTTAACTGATTTAAAGTGCATTTTTAATTATTTAATGTAACATTTAATGTTTTAACTGTGCCTTTAATAATCTAAAGCTATAGTTAATGTTTAAATCATGTATTATATAAATAAATTATCAATAATTTAAAAAATGAACCAAACAGGGTGCAGACTATCATTCTAGTGCTTCTTTGCTCACCTCCTCTCTGGGGTTTTCTGGGATCTCCTCCTACTGTTACCATGTGCTAAAAAATACTTCTTTCCTATCTGCAGCACAAGGACCACTAAATTTATTTGTTTTGTTTTTCAGATAGGAGTTAACGTTCAATAATGAGGCAATTTCCAGGATCAAACATTTCCCCTTGAAGCGGGGCTCCTAGCCGGCACCATTTCCCTTATTTATCATTGCTTCATGGCGGTCACCAACATGATGTTATTCTAGCAAAAAAGCACTGCTGCATTATGGATAATTCTTGCATCTTGCATCGTTAAGTCCCCACTCCCACAATGTGATTAGCCCAGCCCGTTTAATAAAAATCCACAGCATCTTAGAGTTTAAGATCTGGACTCTGACCTTGCCCAGTAGTTTTCATTGTTCTCTTGTACTTTGTGGATATACAGTATTCAGCACGTTTTGGGTCATGTATTACGTTGCAGGGTCCAGTTCCGCTTAAAGGACGTCCCTCCACAAAATTCCCATTTTTTTCTTAATGAATCATATGGATGTCTAAAGCTTGGTTAATGTTTGGTGCATTCATCTGTGTGGCCAAAGTACATAATTTTCGAAGCAAAGCTTCCCCAAACCATGGCACTTCCTCCTTCTACCCTAACAGTTGGTTACTGATTGCAAATGCTATGTTCTGATATCGACAATTCAGTTTTAGACTCATTTCTGCACCTTCTAGCGCAGAAATGAGTGACATAAATGGGCTTTTTTACAGTCATAGATGCTTATTACTAAAAACGTTTCTTACAGAAAAGAATTCATCAACATACTGCTGTGACAATTTAAAATAAAAAAGACAATTCATACATTAAGGAGTTCCTGCCTATCCTTTACAGTAATTAGTTGTGGACTAGATCCAAAGTTCTTGCCTAAGAACCAGTTTGGCGAAAGAGAAGCAGGAAATCTCTGCCTCCTAATCTCCTTTTATAAGCCCCTTTCTACCTCTGCTGTGTAACTCCTGTTTGGGTTTCTCACTGGAGCCTTAAGCTTAACTCCACTGATTTGTCTTTCTAGGCCTTTCCTCTGATCTGGTACTTATTCTGCTCTAGTCATTGAGCGCTTCAGCCTGTCTCTGTCGTCTCGCTGCTTCTAATAACCGTTTACCTGAGACCCGTCTGATTATCAGACAACACTGGCAGTGTGGCTGGGATTTTATCAGCAAACACAAACTAAATGCTGCAAGAGCTTCCTGGCAGGTGATTGGCTGTTGGAGTGCAGCCTTTAAAGAGCTGTTTCTGAATGAGGTGGAATGGGAGTTTAGTGGAGTCAGTTAGGACTGGAATGCTTCAGTTTTTGCAATGAGACCCCCTGGATTTAGATTTTGTGTGTCAGTGTTAGAAATGTTGCTGACCTATCAGAGTGATTTCTTTATATGTGTTGATTAACTTCAGTCTGGCTCATGAGGTCAGAGTCTGCTGTTGCTCCAATTAGACACTAATCTGATTAGCTCCTGCTTTCTCAACCCGACAGCCGCCACACTGTCCGGTAGTGAAACACTCAGAGGTTAATTCTCAGCATCCAGACAAAATTATTTTACTTCACACCCTGTTTACAGCTGCAAGGGTCCTTCTGTAAATCCTGCATGATGTTTACTCACCTAATGGTTAAATAAGGTCTCAGGCACACTGAGGTTTTCCCTCTTGGTAAGCTCGGCCGTCGACATGTGGAAGTGATTCATTCATGAACACTTTGAGGTAAATGAAATGTGTGTTTCTGTTGACTGAGTCAGAGTTGGATCCCTCCCTTTATATCAATATGTGGAGGAAACCATGATTCATCTCAGTTTAGGGTGTAGAGCTGATCCGTTTAATACTTTTACAAACAAAACCTAGTCAAACCTAACAGGTTCGCTCCAAACAGGTAAGTTTAACCCACTTTTATGCTCATCTGTACACTTTTGTGAAACTTCTAGTAACCACCTGTCTGAATGTCAACCCTACAACCCTGCCTTTGAGGTCCACTGAAGAAATGATCAGCGTTGTGTTGGGTTTTTTGACATGTCGTCAGTCTTCCTTTATGCACAGAGAAACCTGCAGCGCAGTGTCGCATCAACAGGTAGAGGTGCTGGTTTCTTATGGGGACTCCATGTCATTTTCTGCTCAGACTCATAAAGCTGACCTCTCCCATGGGCCGTCAGTGAGCAGCGGGCTGTTTTTTCTCTCTCCTCAATCCCAACAAGACCGGCTGCCAGACAGGTACCAAGAAAACTAGTATGGAGCTGGAAGAACGGCCACAAAACCGACTGAGTGGAGTGGAGCTGGCCAATTTGAAACCAATGGAAAATGGTTTTCTCTCCAGCTAACTTTCCAACTTTTCCCAGGCAATGTTAGTCTCTCTGTGGTTCACCCTAGAGTCTCCTTTCAGTTGCAAGTGTCTGAAAATTATTTTAAAAAATCTCCCAAATTCTATTATTTTAAGGCGAAAGATCAGTGGCTCCGTTGGTGTAGCCCTACTTAAGAACATCATAGAGAGCAAAGCTTTATCCTCACATTTTTTAGGCAAAACCATCAGAAATTGTTCACTAAACAGTTTCTTCAACGGCATGAAATGTTTCATGGACTAAAAATTGAAAAATAACACGAAAAATACAGAGCGCTTCGTTGCATTCATAGTTATCTGATTGGTTCTACCCTGATGAGGCTAACCCTCTTAGCCCTGCCCATGAATTCGAGGTCTTTCAGCACTTCACCAGACTGATACACATATTAGTCCAGCTGCCCAGGCTAGCTAGAAACCCTTTAGAGGCAGACAGCCTCTTCAGGTTTCAAAGATGGAAGACGAATCTCACAGTTTTACCCAAATAGGGTATAATGGGCCATTAGGTGAAGGGGGCGGACTAACTTACACTTTTCTTAAAAATACATTTATTTTGTTTTATGTCAAACACAAATAAATTGACTAATTTTCCAGGAACGTATTTGACATCAATATTTGAACATTTCTTAGCAAAGTACCATCTATTTAACGAGGCGTCCTAATTGTTTTCGTGGTTCTACTTGCCCAAGGGCTGCATGAAATTTGGTTAAAACCTGTTTTCATAATCAACTCTGAGCTCTTTGGCCCGATCAGATCTCCTCTTCACCTCCCCTTCCTTCTAACCTCCCTTTGTTTTCCACATCAGAACAATTCTTCTCAGTGTGGAGCGCCCACCGCTGAGCTGATCCGATCTGTGAACTCCGAACTCTACGCAACAACGCAGGCTCTTATTTTAGCCGCAAAGATTTCAGCATGTGCTCCATGCAGAAACGAAGCAGCTCTGCATTAATTCTGCACTGATTGCTGGGGTTATTTTGTTTCCCATTTGTGCAAAAACAATAGTTTTGTTTCGGTTCTGCACACTGATGACTGGAAAGCTGACCTTCTTCGGAACAAAGGTAACAAATAATCAGCGGCAGGAATTTGACATATTGATGTCAAATCTGAAGGAACATCCACAGAACACCCTATATAACTCCAGAGGCCAGAACAAGGCAGAAAAGACAAGTTCACTAAACAGGCTGGATTAAAGTGATGATAAATTGTTTTAGCAACCTAACTTGAAATTGTATCAGTTTGGTGTTTAAACCTTTAGTCAAACTGCAGGAGTGGACAGTGTGGCAACAGTTCAGAGAGTTCAAGTTCACATCCAGCTCCCAGCTTTCAGATAGCTTTTTAAATGCTTCTGATTCTAAATCATTTCTGTTTAAATTAATAAACACTGCAGCCGAGAAACAAAAAGACAAAACAGGAATTTGTGTCAGCCTGTTTGCTTTACCAGCAGGACTTGATAGTCGACTTCCCTTGTCTTGAATTTCCTCCTCTGCAATGTTGTTTTCCAGGGTAGTTTTCTTTCTTTTTTTTTTTATACATCTGTCTCTGGAGCTCTTCTCGGTTCAAAGAGGAAGTGAAGCAGCCATAAGAGACCAGCTGGCCTTGGCAGGGAACATGCATAAAACAGAAATGGGGATAAAAATCTGCAGTCCCCTTTCCATTTAAAAAAAAGGGTTATGTCACCTCTAAAACTGATAATCATGGTAGCCTCGCTTTGCTAACATGAACCTGTTATAAGCAGGCGTTACAAAAAACTTCCTCTAGAGGCATTTTTTCAACTCATTTCCTGTCTAAATCATGCAAACACACCCTTAAGTCATGCAGGTTGAACTACATAGGGCAAAAGATTTCACTTCCTTGTATTCTGTGTCAAAGCTGTTGCGTCATACAACCAGCATGTGGCCACTATCAGCAGGCAAATGGGAAGAAGGCACCGAGTAAGGGCTATAACCCGGCGGTTCCCCAGTGGTTTGCTCGCTTTCTGAGAGAGTAACCCCTAGCAAGGGTCTCTTTGCATAATTTTTCCACAAGCTTCAATGTCTTTGGTCCAATCTGATGAAGTCTTCTTCTCAGCTTTGGCCCCTTGCTTCTCTACACCGTTATTACCTTTAAGACCAGTTATGGCCCATCTTCTGTTTATTAGGAATGCTTATATGTGCTGCTTGTGTTATGCTCCAGTCTTTCACATTTTGAAGGTTGGTTCCAAGTAATCTTCAGTTTAAGCAATACCCCAGGAAGTCACGATTTATTAAAAAAAAAAGGTCTTAAACACTTTAATCCAATAAAAAAGTAAAACACAGATGTATTGAAACAATATTTTAGAACTGTTTGGCATCATAGGGTTGTGGAAAACTACCCGTGTGCTACAGGGTCCTCAGACCGCCGATCCATAGGACCTCAGCAGCTACAGGCCGTTTGCACTGACCTTGCATCTGGTGAAGACATTTGAAAGGCTGGTCCTAAACCATCTAGCCCCCTGATGAGGTCTTCAATGGACCCACTTTGGCTAGCCTACATCTATCTGCTGCACTAAGCTTGGTTTCTTTAATTTATTTGTTCTTCCGACATTTTTCAACCAGGACCTAGTGTTAAAAGATATTGAAAATTGAATCTCTGGCTTTTTCATGCCATAAAAAAAAAAATGTATCAATTGATTTTTCCTCACTTAAATTTTATGATTAAAATGACATATATTTCAATCACACTCTGAGAGGTGACATTAACTTAAAGGGCAACAGAGCTGTGAAACATGCCTGTAAAATAATTATGTTTCACAGCAAACACTGAAATGTTTGCAGCACCTGGTATCACACGGTGAGCTAGTTTAGCTGTTATGAGGAGACATCTAAGAATAAAAAGTAATGACCTGATGTCACTCTGAGCAATGGGAAAACAAAAACTTTGAAAAAAAATCCAGGATTTCCATAAATTTTCATACAGAAATCATTCCATGGATTGATGTAATCAATGATTCAGACAGCCCTACCAGGACCCCTGAGAGACAAACCAGCCAGTCTGGAGTGGACCCCCAGCTGTCCAAGGTGATACTACTGGACATGGTTTGTCTGCAGTGTTGGGGAACCGCAAGGAACTGTACTGGATCCACTTTTCTTTACCTTCTATACTGAAAATGTGTCCATCAACTCCCTGACTCCCTGCTATTTTGACTATACTGAAAAAAAACAGATAAGAGATAAGACGGACTGTTGGTTTAAAGGATGAAGGGTGCTGCAGGTCGGCTGCATGCTTTAGTAGGTTTTTTTAGCGCCTGGCATGTCCCACTGAGACGAGACCCCTGGGAAAGAATACACCGGAGAGGGACCATGGATCCCTTATAACAATAAATGAGCTTGCAGGTGGATGATCTGTTAATCCATTACAGGCAGGAATGAAAACACTAGATGAGAGAAGTGAAGAAGGTTGGAGGAATGAAACCTGCCAGAAGCCATTAGAAGAGAAGGATAAGCATATTTTTCACCAAGATAAAGTCCAAAATAGGACTTAAATACTCTCTTGGTCCACTGCTTTATGAGATAAAAGTATTTGTGTTCATTTCTCTGTTCTTAATTCCTGCTGTTTGACAGACAGCACAATCGCACCCCCCACAGGAAGCCGTGTGCCGAAGCAGCTGGTGTGACGTACCCATGCCGATCTTGACGAAGCCGATGATGATGATGAGGGCGAGCGCTAGGAGTTTGGCGGCCGCGAAGAAGTCCTGCACTCGGGTGGCCGCCTTCACGCTGTAGCAGTTCACGAACGTCAGCAAGACTGCAGAGAAAGAAACGACAATGAGATGAGGACAGAGGCAGAATCCTGATTAAAGATACTTTCTTCTGTTTTAACCATCAACAGCATGAAAGGCCACAGAGCCTCTATTTGGACTCAGCAGCTAAATGTCAGGGTGATCCAGGTTGCTCAGGAAAGAACCTCGCCAGGGTTAAACCTTCAGGCGTTTTTAATGTTTGAAATGTACAAAATCTCAAATGTTTTTCATGAGTTTTGGTCACAGACAGAAGGAATTCACGCATGCTGAGCAATATTTTTGTTGAACTCACATATTGGTGCTACATCTGTAGAGGCTCCTGTAAAAAAGAAAAGGTTTGGTCCTTCTCTCTAAGTAACATTAGTGAGAATAGCAGAAAGAGTTGTGCCTTTTGCCTGCAGTCCATCTCCATCCTTGGGGACAGAGTTGCAAGACTGCAGAAGACTAATTCATGGAAGAATAAAAAAAAAAAAACGTTCCTATTGTGCATTTTCAAGAGTGCATGTACAGTGCTGGTACCGGCCATCCAACACGCACACACACACTCCCGACGTTCCTGAAGGGGCCCAAAAAGCCCATTAAAAGTGATTAACTGAAGCACCAGGTCCTTTCAAAGCTTTAAATCAGGTTGGAGCCACAACAGAAGACGAGGCGGCACAATGAGGCTCTGTGCTGGACAAAACAACACAAAGGGAAAGAGGCCGCGTACAGTACAGGGTTAGGGTCTCTCCTGGCATCCAAACTCAAACAAAAACACAGCTACTGCTTCTGCCAAATACTAACAAGTGCACAGGGTACCATGGGTAGGAGAAGCTGGTCAGGGAGAAGAAAGATGAGGACTAGAACAGAATATGTAGGCATACATGAAGGGATATACTGTATACCTTATCCTTTTCATGATCCTAAATAACAGAACACTGAGGCACAAACCTCACACACTCTGAGCCTATCAGAGCTCAGGTCAGTCATGTGGACTCTGTCAGGGTTTAGCCTTTAGTCGGTCTGGAGATTAGGTACCAGACTGGTTCTACACGTGCACTAACACACTCATCATGTGCTACACAGCTTGTGTGTGAGGGGTGTGTGTGTTGGAGACAGTTGGAGACTGAGAGCTGGGTGATAAAAGGATGAAGCAGATATTAACCCAGTTAATCTCATTAAGTCTCTGAGACAAGGCACAAAGCAAAGTGAGTGTTTGAATGTTATCAGAACCTGAAGGGGGACATTCAACTGATCAGGCTGATTGATTTTTACAATACTGGACTTTGGATCTTCCAGAAAAATTTAACAATTTCCATTTGATTGAGTTTGCATTTCAAACATTGAGTAACAGGATGATTTCATTCAGCCTCCTGGAGCCACTTTATAAGATCAGTTTAAATATTAGTTTATTTTACCAACAAACAGAACCTAGCTTTATTTTCCCTCTTTTTTTTTTTTTTGACCTTTTGGTTGTTTCTGGTTTTCTTTTAAGTTTTCATGCTTTTATGGGGGAGCTACTCCACCTAATTTTATATTTACTCCAACAAAACAAACCAAATCAATAAAACTAACAAATATCAAATACCTTATACTGCAGGTAAACTAAATAATCAAAACTATTCTTCCCTGCAATCAGTTTCTTTTTAAATTAATGAAACATTTTCTACATCCTTAAACTATTTCTGCATTAAGAACAAAGGAGATTCCATATTTTTTCTTCCTTCTCTCTATTATTAAATAATCAAATAGAACAAAATCATCACTCAGCTAGACCGCAAAAAATTATTTGCCAAAATGCATAAAGTTATTAACAAATGTGTTAAATAAAACAAATTATAATAATAATTATATAATTATTATAAACATATATACATATTTACGTGTATATATATATATATATATATATATATATATATATATATATATA